AATACTTCCTATCAATACAATATACAATCTAAAATTTAAATATCCTGGTTTAGGGCAACATATCCAATAAATTAACGGCGCCTGAACAATTACATCTCCTTAAAATTAACGGGTAAATCTATAACATAAGTAACAAAATTATTATCTAATTTCAATCTAGTACCTAAAAACTGTTCAACATAAATTCACTATGCTCAAAGTGCATCCCCTTACAAATGATATCAATGTTTATGATATTTATTTGCTATATTAATATTGATATTATTTGTTATAGGTCCAGACCACCGACCTCGGCCAGGACTATCCTGATTCGCCTTCATCATGGCCACAACCAACATAATATTAACTACGATAAAAAATTAAAATTAATAATTTGACTCTAACTATCGCTATAATACGACTGGCCTGTATACATATTAAATAATTTATAGTAAATAACTTGTTTATAAATATACCTTGTCATATTTATCTACACTATCCTTTATCTTACGACCTACACCCACCTTGACCTACACATTATCGTTATTCCTTTATATTGTTCACAAACCGTTATAGCGCAATATTTCCAAATCCTATTATGTTTAATTCGGAAATATTATAATGGAACTTTCGGGCAGCCGACTATATCAGCCCACCTATCTCGGGGTTCAAAGTAATTTCTTGTGCACCCAGGTTTTTTCCTGTAACGCGACTTGGCAAGTAGATAGTTGCCACTGTACGACACTATATAAAATAAATTAGAACCTACTCTAATGTAGCTACAGCTACAAACTCACATTGAAATACTCGAGCAGCGGCGAAATAAATAGAAATAAACTGAAAATACGGGCAAATGCAACCTCATTATATTCACATTAAGGAAAGGTACCACACCTCTTATCATTCTCAACCACTACATCATACAGCAAATCAAAACAGTTAGATAGTCAGGTCCTTGCCCGGACCATCTACATCCAGACAAATTTGTTTGGAAACAACACATAAATAAAGAAATCGAGCAAATCAGACTCAAAAGGAAGGAAATGTACTGACTCACTGTAGACATTCTTCTACACTGCTGTACATTCAGTACTGTAGTACTGGTGAACTATTACCAGAAAATAAACTATCGCTACATAAAACAATCATAAAGCCTATTTGAACTCATGATATTCGACTTTGCGGTATGACAACTAAAAGTCATACTACTCGAATTCAAGTTTACTATGGATGTTCGCAAAAACCAGAAATTCATTCGAAGAATAGAACACTGATTTGGTATATGGTCAGTTACGACCATAGAACAGGTGATAATGGGTCGATGTAGATTAGCGGTGAATTCGCATATAGTACTGTAGTATCGTGGACGAAAGGCCTAAGAGATATCGGGCGAACCATAGACAATGTCGCGAGAGCCGAGACGCCGTCGGGTCCATCAATGTGTCATCGGTCTTTTCAAGTGCATAGTTCGTAGAAAAGACCTACGTGACCCTGGCCACGAGCGTCTGCAGAACACGTGTGCGGTGGGCCTGGGCGGTGGGGCTGGTAAAAGACAATGGAATGCTACAACGGCCAGTGAGAGTCGAGAATGCTCGTGCGAGTCGAGAAGCAGAGTGCGAGTCGAGAAGCAGCGTGCGAGCGGAGAAGCAGAGCTTGCGAGTGGCGTTACCGAGAGAATGTTGATTGCGTTTTGTGGATTGCGTTTTGGGAGAGTGGAGTCGTATTCTAATCATCTAGTTGTGCTGCTTTCTGTACGTTTGGCGTGAATAGTTTAGGTTGAACAACAATCGTCTTTTCTATCTTCCATTCCTTTGTAAACACATTATATCACGATATTACAGTACAGATATACACATTTATATTATACAGAATGTTTTTTCAAATTATTATTTTGGATAACCATTCCGATGAAAACAGTTCTTCTTGTACAAAAGCAACAAAGCTTTTTCGTAAGGGGAAAATGCCTCGTTCAAAAGACAATTTTTTTTTCAAACGATGAAATTAAATGCAAATTTATCTTCATGCTTCATGGTGAATTTCACATTGTTGGGTTTGTAACCAATCAGACCAAAGAAAATGCTGATGTTCTGATTGTAAATACAGCCAATCGATTTTCTAATGAAAAGAAATCCGTTATCATTGTCGAATAAGATATTAATTTGTTAATGTCATTATGACGATCGATCAGCTCGTCGAAAACGACAGGACCGAGGAAAAACTAGAGCAAGGAAGAGAAAAGGATAATCCGAACTTATTTAGTAATTAAGCTCAATTAAGCGGCTCAATGTAACAGAATCTTTTATTTTGTTCTTTATTTTTTAAAATACTCCTAATTTCACAAATAAATTTGAAAGACGTACAGAATAATTATATTTAAAATAATATAAATTGATAGTTTTGTGATTATCGCATTCTCAATTTAGTTTTCGATATATTCGTCGGAGATGAAAGAACACCGGAGCCTTTGGAATTTTGGATAATCCCGCACCATTGTAATCTAGAGTCTACTATAGCTGCAATTAAACAATTGTAGTTATTCAATCCGATAGTAATTGTTCGCGAGCTGTGATGATGAGCTTGGGCTCGAGGCGACAGCCAGTCGCCGAACG